CGGTTTATTATTAAGACCATACACCACACCGAGCATAAATTCTTACGCAAAATATTAAAGGAATATTATCAGGTGTGTTTTAAGTTTTCTGATCATCACTAAAGGCTTCTCATTAATCTATGTTCTAATATTAAAAAACAGCATGTGAGCAAAAATCCCGACACGCTCCTCTCTCGCTTTTACGGTCTGCATAGAGTAAAATTGCCCCGCGGACACAAAATTCACTTTGTAGTGATGAATAATATTTTTCCACCGCACCGAGACATTCATGAAACATACGATTTGAAGGTTTGTCATCCGAAAACGAATGTCACTTTCAAAGGTTCGACTTAGGATAACTTTGTTGCTATCCTTGAAAATAGGGTTCAACTGTTGGTCGCGAATATAAAGAAACTGAAGCGGCAGTCAAGCCACGCGCCGTGCTCAAAGATCTCAATTGGATTAATCGTGGTCGTCATTTAGAACTTGGACCCGAAAAAAGAAAGCTCTTTGCTAAACAACTTGAAAAAGACGTCGAGGTAAAATTATAATTAATAATTCAACCTATGAACTTACATACGTGTACAAATATAAATATCCTTGTTGTTGTTTCCAGTTGCTTCAACGACTGAAGATAATGGACTATAGTCTTCTCGTTGGTTTGCACGACACTTCCCGCGGGAACAAGGATAATATCCGCGATGATTTCTTTGTATTTCAGGTGTGTAGACGAAATTTATTGTTCGAATATCTTGGATATAAACTCAAATGTTTTCTTTTTCAATCAACCTTTCAGCCTGACACAAAGAAAATCGAGCGCACTCCATCGAACCATAAGCGAGAAAGTAAGGCCTCGCAATTACGTAAAACTGTTGGTCAAGCTGCTCCTGTCAGATTGGGCTCGTCTACCAAACTTGCGTTGGATGCTCCCAACGAGTAAGCTTATATCTTAAGATTATTTTCAATTGTCTGTTCCTTGCTTAACTATGAAAAAATTGTTTAATCATTACAGACGTCGCAAGTGTGCTTTTTACATGGATGATGGTGGCTTTGCCGGTACCGATGAAAATAACAATCCCACCAATTACATATACTATCTAGGTATAATTGACATATTGACTCCTTACAATAGTGTCAAAAAGATCGAACACGCTTGGAAGTCTGTTAATCATGATAAGGTATTGAATATCTCTTTGTTAAAAAGAAATGCTTGAAGCACGCCTTCTAACGAAATCTTTTGCATGCATTTCTCAGAAAATGATTTCTGCTGTACATCCTCGATGGTACGGTCAGCGCTTCCTGAACTTCATGTTCAAGTCTATCAAATTTAACGATGATATACTAAACACAAAGGTCGAAGGAAATGATACGAACAATGAAGACGTAGAGAATCCTGTTTTAGAATCATAATGTATTCTGCAGTTCTCTGACATCACTGAAAATTTTTTTTTAGAAAAATCCAGATATATCATTTCTTTTCTAAGTTTGGTATATCTCTTCCAATCTTAACGCCATCGCTTCTTTCAATGCAATCATTCATCAAAAAAAACAAAAAACAAAAAAACAAATCCATTACACTAGTTATTATTTATTACTTGACTACCACGTCAAAAATTTAGTCTGAATCCAATCAAGGAATTTAAGATATGGACTATCATAGATTTAGATTCATTTCCTCATCTCCGATCACATCCTCCAAACTCTTCACACAAGCTACCCACATTCTTTAACCATTACAATTCTCTTTTTTTTTCATTCCCTTTTTTTTTCGCCTTCCGTCTCATAATCCAATAACAATTGGTGACTTAACTCTTCACACTCTTTTTATCCATCCCATTCAAACATTCACAACTCCTTATTAATTACTTTCCTTTTTCAAATTGAACTTTATATATTTTTGTGTTGGAATCATACCAAGCTGACTTTTTTGAACATTCGTAGAGTATTATTTTAAATATTTATACATAGTTTCGTTGGAAGTGAAAAAA